AGGACTAGAAAGCAGGAGGGGACAGGAAAGCTGGTAATAGGGAACCCAAGGTTGAGAGCGAGAGTGTTGATGTGTTGTGGGGTTGTTAACTAATGTCATAAAACAATATGTTACTAACTGCTTAATGAGAAACTATTTGTTCTGTAAACCTTCATCTAAAGTACAATAAATAAATAAATAAGAAATAAAATAAAATAAAATGCCTAAGTATTTTTACAACAAATGTATCCAGCTTCTATGATCTTAACTTGCACGCAAAAGTTTGGTACCCAAGTTCAGCATTTCACATTTATTCCTATTAAGTTTCATCTTGGTCAGTTCAGACTGTCATGATCTCTTTGCATTCTAATTTATGTAATCCAGCTCTGCATGATGGGCCAGTTTGGTAACATGCCTTCTATATTTATACTCAGCTCATTGAGAAACTCAGGTTTTAGCAATTCTGTCCTACTTGACCTTTCACCCTAACCTCTTTTATGTCAACAATTAGTAGTTATCATTTTTGTTGATATTCTTTATGCCGAGTATTACGAGAGATGAGAACTAAAGGAGTTGAAGATAAGTATATGGCTCAGCCCTTGCCCCTAAGATGCCTATAATTTTGTTGAGAAGAATTTGTTACAAAAAGAAAAGAAAGAATTAGATAGCAATGCACTATGGTGTGCTTTTGAAATAATGTAGTGAGACTGATTTACAGACCAGGAAACCCAAGTCCATTACTTGATAGATGACTCTCAAGCAATTAAATGGTTTGTTGCATGGTAAAAGCTCTAGATACTACGGGAATGGGGAGGAGAGATCAACATGGTTTGAAACTCATATCATAGAGGTAGCAAGACTGCTAGGCTTTAGAGACCTAGTTGTCTTAAGCTAGGACCGAAAGAGAAATCACTGTTGCCCTGGCCTTTAAATCTTAGTTAATTTAAAAAAAAAAAAAAAGTCCTAATTCACATCTTCCTTATCCTAAACTGAAAGAGTGAAACACATGCTCATAACATAAAATGCATTCATTATAACATGAATGTGATCCATGAAAATCTATGTTTCTCTAAAGAACTGACATCAAAGTAGTTCCTGGCTCATTCTCCTTCTTGGTGAGACGATTAGATTCCACCCCTCCACCCTACTCAAACTTGGAGCTATATGTTGTTTTTCAAAATGAATATTTGATTACTAGAAGCCACAATTACAAGAATGTCAGATAACATTAATTTAATAAAGTTTGTTGCAGGAAAAAAAAACAGAATTTTAATCTTGATATACCTTTTTTTTTTCCCAGAAAAGTGGCAAAAATATGTGAATGGGAACTTCCAACTCCTCCCAAAAGGCTTTCTGTTTCTTCTTCCTCCCATCGGTGAGTGTATCAGAGGCCCAGAAGTCGATTGTTGTTTTTTCCCTAAACAAGGGAATCTTTCCAAAAAGAAGCTGCACTCAGAGAAAGACTGACTTGATCAGAGACTGCCCCCTGCCTTCCTACACAGCACATAGAGTTCAACTGCTTTTTTTCATTGAAAACAATCCTACTAACTTTGAAAAGACTTCGTATATAATGTGCCATCTGTATCTAAGATTTTTTTTTCCAATTCAACGGCCCTGCTTGAAGAACCGTAAGAGCAAAATTTGCTGTGTAAAATACTATAAAAATGTATCTCTAGGTATGTCATACCTCAATAATGGATATTACGTATATGATGCTTTTTTTGTTTTGTTTTGTTTTTTTTGTTGTTGTTGTTTTGCTTAAGCGGAGACATGAAATGCTGAAAATATAATCTAACACAATTGTGTAACTATAAAAAAACCCTCTGGCTATCAGGATTTGCTTTAGATCTGAAAAAATATGGGTGGAAGGATTATCAAAATACGTTGCATTTATGGCTGGTGGTAAGTAAGAGAGGAAGAAAATCTCCTGGTAGAATTTTTGTGCAGCTTTTTTTGTTCTGCAAAAATACTTGTCTTGGAATTTTTTATAGAATCCGGTCACTGATTTTTAAATCTACCTCAGACTATAATCTTTTAGGTGTGTTAAAACAGAGCTCTCTGATCAGGAGGGGAAATAATAAAGATTGAAGAACTAAAGTTTTCTGGTAGGTTACTATTGTTTATTAAAAAGTTCCCAAAGTCTCAAATGATGAGGAACTTTTTTTCTTACTTAGTATCAATCTTTAATTCCTTCCAGAATTTTTAAATCTGTCGTCTTGGAAAAATAAATATTTGAGGTGGGAGGAAAGCCCCCTGGTACAAAAGTTGTAAAAGCAGGTCTATATCCTCAGAAACCGGGGCGAGTTTTTGGAAACCATATTCCAGGAAGCACTGGGGATTGGCATCAAACCCAAGGATTTCGGGTAAATGACTCCTCTTTCCGGGGACGACTTCCGTAGACCTGAGGAAGGGAAGGAACAGCCGTGAAAACCGTCGGCTGATCCCCAGGACACATTAGGCAGGGGTTCGAGAAAGCCTCTCTGGCGACGACAAAGCGCACCAGGATGTAGTTGCTCAAATTTGCTTTCCAGAAAAAAAAGAAAAGAAAAAAAGTGCGTCCTAAATTTCTCCTTACACTATATTCTCTGGGCTAAGGTGCTGTTGCCAAGACCTTCTACAAAGCCCGTCGGGTCCGCCAGCGCTCAGCCCAGCCACCGCCTAGAGAACCCGAGGAGGCGGTATGCGCCGCGAGTGCCGGGGTGGCGGAGCTGACGCTCCAGGCTAAACTCTGCGTCCCGAGCCCGACTGTGTCCCCGGCTTCCGCACAGCGTTCCGCGTTCCGGGCCGCTCCGCGAGCGCCGCTCAAAGGCGAACTTGCCTGCTGGTGCCTACCCAAACTCGGAAGCCCAAAGCGCGCTTCAGCCCGCCGCCCCGCTAACCAACTTTCTGTCCGCTGCACCCGTACCTTCCCGCCCCCCGCGTGGGTCTCACCGCTGGTCCCACTCGGCATTTTTGCCTTTCCAGGGTAGGAGGACGAGACAGTTTAAAGAGCAAGATATGTAATTATTATTATTATCATCATTATCATTATTATCATTCGCTCCATGCCGGTTCGGCCGGGACCTGGGGAAAGGGAACAGGTCCCTGGCTTCAGCTTCGGCAAATGCTATCTCCCGCTAGGCTCGACAGTCCATTTTGCCTTAGCAAATATATCACGGGGATTTATATTTACATTTTTAAAAGTAATACAGATTTTCCAGTCTCTGACAAAATAAATACAATTCCCTCCAGAAAAGCCAGAACGAAGCATCCTGCACTCACTGTGATAAAGAGGATACTTGGAGAGTTTTTAAAGATGAGTGCTTAGTTGTTGTTTTTTTAAGAGAAGACATATGTTTTCTCTTCTATATTCATAAGTTACTGTGCTAATGAAGCATTTTTAAAGATACGAGCATTGGACAGTCCGTGGAGTTAGCAGAGCTGTCGCCGCCACCTGTGCGGCATCATAACAGTAGCATTCAACAGATGCTTCAAAAAAACTGAGATGGGTTTTCGCTTTGCGAAACAAAACTTGGTGTGGACAGTATGGTCACTGACAAATTAAATTTCAGAGCTCCGCAAAGTATCTAACTTCATTGGAAATGGAGGGATTCAGCGAATTCCAATGTCCCGATTTATCCTTTCACAAATCGGGAAACTGAGGCACAAGGAGAAGTGACTGGCCTTTAGGGCATCCAGAATAAGGAAGAGGCTCGACTCTTGTCATTGCCCACTCCTCCTCCTTGATCCCTAACTTTTGGAGCAAATGTTCCCCGGAGCGGGCCGGCCTCTCCCTTCTTTCAGCGCTCTACCAAGCTCGGGTCTCCATGCCATTACCCGTCTCCTTGTTAGCCTCTTCTATACCATGGCCTCTTGACGATTATATGTCCGATCTCAAGTAACCAAACCCGAGTCTCTGTCTTTCTTCGGTCCAACTACTTCCGACCTGTGAGAAACCAGTACCCACTTCTCCCACCGGCGGTCCACGGTGCCGTGCCGCGGAGCTTCTGCAGAGACCCGACCATTCCCCCGCCCCCGAGCGCCCAGTTCCCTCTTAGGAGAAATCTGCTCTGCCCGGCCCCTCGGTGGGAGCATCTCCACTACCAAGCTTGGCCTGGTTGCCTCCCAAGGCACCTAGGCCAAGGTGGCCCTAACTGCCCTTCTCCGCGCTGCAGCCGGGATACCGCAGGCACCTGCCCGGCGCCTAGGAGCCCGTGGACAAGAGCTCTGCCTGCCGGGTTGCAGTTCAGCATCCCGGCAGTTGCCAAAAAGGAGCTTTTGTGGTTCACTCCTTGCCTTGCCGCCTTGACCGTGCCTTGACAGCCCTTGAGGCGGCTGGACAACCAGCTGGCCGTGGGCCCCAGGCTCGGTGCCTGAGAGACAGGTCTAGCCCCGCCTCGAAAACCCGAAGGAGCTGCCCTTACAGTATCTTTCTAAGCACTTAGCCGGGCCTGGGTGGTCAGGAAGGGAATTGTGCTCTCCAGGGGCGCGAAGGCCAAGGGCTTTTTTTTTCTTTCTCTCCCTTCCCTGCATTTGGGGCTGGGGATAAGGGTGGGGACGCGGGCTTTATAACCCGGCCGTGGCCTTTACGCACTAAATCTGTTCCGCCCTGTAGTGCCTCAGTTGCTCCTGTTGGAGAGAGAGGAGAGGTTCGGAACGGAGACCCTCGAAGGGGGTTTCAAAGCTCGGTGGAACTTGCAAGACTCTTAGGAAGTGAGTTGAACTGAAATGTACAGGGGTGTGTGTGTGTGTGTGTGTTGGGAGGGGTGTTCTTTGAATGAATCTTTGAGAGTATATTCTTGACAGTCCTTCGTGCCATGACTGACCCTGTCCCCCCACCCCCCGCTCCGTCTCTTGCCTCATGAATGGTTAATCACTCCCCCCCTTCCAGCTATGGGTCTCGGCCCCCCCGCCAACAGGCTCCAGATGCACTAAGAGACTGGTCCAAACTGGCCCGGGGGCAGTGTGATGCTGAGCGCTGATTGGCTGCTTTTGACTCCGCCCCTCATCCTGTGTTTGGCCCAAGAGCGTGGTGCAGCTTCACCAGCGCTGGGTAGGCGCTCCGGTGCCCGCCGAGGACACTTCCTTCCTCGGCTGCGCTTTCCGATTCTGCCTTTGGAGCGGCTAGACTGCCAGCTGTGGCTGCTCCATCGGCCCCACTCCCCCTTACCTGCCTACTGCATATGAACTTTTGTTCCTTCTGCCTGGACATTGTTGCCGTCGGAGTCGTCGAGATCGTCGTGGTGCTCGCGTGATGGCCTTCGTCCGTTTAGAATAGTGTAGTTAGTTAGGGGCCATCGAAGAAGAGAGAAGACGCGAATAGTGCAGAGATGCTGGAGGTCGTCAGTTACTAAGCTAAGGCAAGATAGTGGATAGATACAAGCCAAACCTAGCCGGGGGCGCACGGTCGCCCACAGGAGGTCGACTTGCCGGCGCTTCCCATCGCGCCGAGCTCCCTCTGTCCCTCCCTCACTCCGCCGAGGCGCGAGGTTGCGGCGCGCAGGGCAGCGCAGCGCACCGACTGCCGCGGGCTCCGCTGGGCGATTGCAGCCGAGTCCGTTTCTCGTCTAGCTGCCGCCGCGGCGACCGCTGCCTTGTCTCCCTCCCGGACGCTAGTGGTAAGTTGGAGCCCCAGGCGGCATTGCTTTCCGAGACCCTAACGGTTTACAAGGAGGATGGGGTGGGGAGCGGGGACAGGTCCCGGATGGTTGCAGCCTGCAAGACCGCACTGGCGGGGGCGGGGATCCTGAACGTGCAGATCGCGGGGAGACTGGTGTCTCCTGGAGGAGAGGGGGCTTAGGTTCCACGGGTGGGGCATCAGAGTCTCGCAGGAGGATGGAAAGCGGGGGCGTCGAGATGAAGGACAGAGATGCGGGTCTCGAAAACCAGGTGTGGTGGGAGAGGAGAGAGAAACCGAAGAAAACGGGGGTGCGGTCTCAAGAAGCGGGGAGCGGTGGAAAGGAAAGAGACTAAAAACGGGGGTGTCACTGGGCAAGTGGCAGGGAATGCGGAAGCTGCAGCTGAGTTAGGGGTACGGGCTAAGTTCTTAAGAAATCGGACTTTGAGTGGGTGGGAGGGGTCGCAAGGCTTGGAACCGTGGAAGCAGGGGTGGCGGGCAAAGGATCCTCTATTATGCTCTCACTGAAAACCGACCCTAATTTTCGGCGGGTCTCAATGAGCACCGGTAACTCTGGGGGAGATCCACACTGCGGATCTGTGTCTTGGTCTCACAGTTCCTGGCTGCCTTTGAACAGCGCTGCTGGTGGTCACGTAAGTTTAAGACGGGAGTATAAGGGCATCCAGCGAGCTTTTTTATTACCTTACCCAAGTCACTTGGTGACAGTTTTGTATTTTGAAAAGGGTTGCAGCAAAGTCTCCAGTGCTGCCTCTTATCATTCCCGTTCGTTTACTCAGTTTAACCTGACAAGCAATCTTGACAGCGTACTCGGAACTGCTAAACATGAGAACAGGTTGCCGTTCCTGACACCACATAAAGTTCGCCATTGCAAAAAACGTGTCTGTGTGTCTGTTTATTTTCTGCGCCGTGCCCTTTGCCTTTTGCTTCCTGTTGGATAGTGTGTGACCTAAGGTAACAAACACCTTGTATTGTGTTCAAGACCCCATTATTTAAGCGACAGCCCTCCCTCCCTCAAATTCAGCGGGTGACATTCAGCACTTAAAGAATATCTAATTTGGTCGAGAATCACTGCCAGTACCTCGCAGCTTCATTAATATTTACCAGCACAAGTCCCATCCAAGGAAGCATCTGATTGCCGAGTCGCTAAGTGCATATGCCCCTCACCACATACCTTTTAGGGAGGCTAACTGAAGGAAGCTCGCTCTAGAGGGAAATAGAATTGAGCTAAAATGACCGGGGTTGGGGGAGATGCTACGCAGTGAAGTAACCTCTGAGCTCCCCAGTTAGCAGAATGGTTAAAAAAAAAAAAAAAAAAAAAGGACATATGGGTTCCAGAGTTTAAATTTTTGAATAAAAATTTTATGTACATATCATTCTCACAATCAAAATAAGAACACCGTTGAAACAAGGTGTAGACATACGTGTAGACACAGCGGAAAAGGGCCATGTGACATGCCCCACAGAAAATGATTTCTACCCTGGTCATTTCCTTTCTTCTGCAGTATTTCAAACACACTGGATATTGTCCTTTCAGAAGAGTATCATTTCCTTTGCACCTTGCTGTTTGGGAATCATTCCCACCCCCCCAGGGGTGGGGGCAATTAATTTTTTTCCTGTATGTTGGGGGATGTAAGTTATAGAAAGGGAGCCCTGATGGCGCAGTGGTTAAACGCTTGACTGCTAACCGAAAGGTCACTGGTTCTGACCCAACCAGCGGCTCTGCGGGAGAAAGATGTGGCAGTCTGCTTCTGTACAGATTTACAGCCTTGGAAACCCTATGGGGCAGTTCCACTCTGTCCTGTAGGGTCGCTATGAGTCGGAATGGACTCGATGGCAATGGGTTTTAGGTTATAGAATATTTAATTATATTTTTCATTCCCTGAGTATGTTCTTCTGAGCCTCCTGGGGAGGAAATAAAATATTTATTTGTTTCACCCGCATAATTTCTTTCTTAATAGACAGCTTTTATCATCTACAGCAGCAAGCCCAACGCAAGTCCTGAAACTTGGAAGGTGGATAAGGCTAGTGGTTGTAATGTCAAGGTAGGATCTGGGGTGTTTAAACCAATGCTGACAATGTTTTTCTATCTGCAGAGTCTAGGCAGGGTTATTAACCTTTGTTATGCTTTGATGATGGGTTTATCTCCTTCTAGAGCTCTCATAGATGACGGTGATGACTTTTCAGATAATAACATGACAGGCTTTGGCGCAGTATGAATTCATGGGAAGAGTGGTGAGAGCTGCCATTTTTTCAAAACCACTGGATGCCAGGCATGGAGTCAGGAGCAGTCACATGTATACATTATTTCACATAGTCTTCATAGCAAGCCTATGAATGAGGAATGAATTATTAACCTCATTTCATTGATACATTTGAATTCTTCCCCCTCCATTTCTCAAAGTATTCTTGGAGATTAATTTAAGGCAATGGAATAAGAAATATTTCTTTGTGCTTTCAAGGCTACCTAGGAAGAATGTGTTTATTTCTTTAACAATAAAAGTAAAATCTAAAAAGCCTATCATTTCTGATATAATGTTGGGTTAATCCGTTAAGGGTTTAAGCAGCCTCAGCGTCTCACCCATAGCTGTATAGAGATATTAGATCTCTCCTCTGGAAAATAAACTCTAAAATCCTGTTAGATTTGCAGGTTTATGACTACAATTTGAGATTTAATTATTTAGGAATATTTCTACATTTAGCTGGAAAATAACTAAATCTACATAACATTATGAAGCCGGGGAGAAACTTCAGTTATTTCGCTCCTCCATTTATTTCTTTCAGTTAAAAGCTATCCATCCCCAACTAAGGGAAAGACAAAATTAAACAAAATTTTGGGTAGAGGTTACCAGTAACGAACATCAAGTATCCTCAGCTGTTCAAGGCCTGAGGTTGAGGAAGACTGCTGCTTGCTGCGCCCGCTAGAAAATAATTGAGTCCCCAGTTATAATGGCTCCTAAAGCTCTAGACTACCTGGCCAGTGTCGTCAAAAAACCTCTTAACCACCTCCGCTTTTATAGCAGTGAAACGCCTCACATAGTAAGAATGTACAGCACCTGTATTGAGATTATTTTCGTAGAACGTCTAGAACAGCTTCATGTTGTCTAGTGGCGGAAATGCTGTAAGATGTCCCACTAACTGCCTGGGTAGCAGTGAACAAACTAGCAAAGTTTGACCATAACTTGGGGTTAATAATATATCTCACAATCTATTCCACCTGATTATTGTGAAACACATGGGTTTTAAGCACTTGGAAATTTTTAAATTATTACACAAAATATTATTTATTTTTAGACTTATTATGTGTCACCCTTCCAGGATGCCTATGTTATTTTGTCTACAACTTGTATATTCTATTGAACCTTATAATGTAATCACTAATCACCAGCCCAATGAGCGTTTGATCAATTGATTACTCCATCACTACTCTTCTTCCAAACATTTTAAGGAGGCTTCCCCATATCCTGAGAACATTGCTATAAAACAGATAAACAACATAAGCTGCGCCATCATTTAGCCAGTCACTAGCAGATTGAATACTAATGCTCGCCTGCAACAGCCCTTTGGCAGTCACTGCTGACATTTTAATGCACAATGATATAGTGAAAGCAGGATTTCAGAGATTAATACAAGCCAAAATCTGAATTCTGTTTTTGTCTCCCTCTACACAACATCTCTATTCCATCCTGCCTGTTAATTTATCCTCTCAGCTGTGGCTAAGACTGTGCTATCTGCAGTTTACGTAGATACTTGCTTTTTAGGGAGCTGTACGGGTAGCTGATGTTTGATGCAGTCAGTCTTGCTAATTAGGGTTAACCTTATTCATAGATGACCATTTACGTAGTGTAATTTGAGAAGCACTAGACAGGCCTTTTGGTCCCCAAACTAGTAGCCTTCATGGGTTTTCATGGCACTTGAAATTCTACATTCAGAGAGTCCCTTCTTTAATTTTAGGAATTGTCTCCTTTAAATACAAATACTCACTCAGAGGGGTATTATGTTATTATTACCTATTAATAACAATGCATACATTTATTGACAGCTATCAGAAAGTCTTTGGAACCTCATTGTCCAATATAATAGCTACCAGCCACATATGGCTATTTACGTTTAAATTTAAATTAATTAAGATTAAGTAAAATTATAAACTCAGTCCCTCAGTCTCACTGGCCACCTTTCAGCTGCTCAATAGCCATGTGTGGCTAGTAGCTACCTATTGGACAGTGCAAATATACACCATCTCTATCACTGAAGAAAATTCTATTGGACAGGAATGTTCTAGAAAGACGGGATCCTTAGTTTTATCATTTCCTCCACCTCCTTGCCATAATGGAAACACCTGCCTTCCTCCAGAGGAGAGACTTCCCTATATCCAGACAGATCTCTCAAGTGGAGGTTAATTAAATCTCATCCTCTACCCCGCCCCTCTTAATGAGTCTTATCAGTCTTCCCTAAGTGTAAGGGCTTAAAGTTATGGTTGAAATTCTCCTAGTCCCATTTTTTTAACTTCCAAGATGCCAGAACATGTCTTTTCTGCCTTTATTCAAAATAATCCTGTATTGAGGCTTACTCTTTAACAACATTTCTTGTCTTTATCTACACCTCCATTGAACTTTTTGGCACCTGGGTTCTTCTCACTGTTTATTCTTTATCTCGCCATTCTCTGGGGACTTCAGTATCCATGAAAATGTCCAAATAACACTCTAGTCTCTTTACCATTGTCCTCAGCTTCAGGCCCATGACCACACCTTAAATGCATCAACTTCTGAAATTTTAGAACTCAGAAATACCACTCTCAGATTATAACTTCCAGGCTCCATTCTTCCTTTGTACCTACTCTACAACCTCATCAAGATCTTATTCCCTGGGCCCCTCCAAAATCTTCTCATTTTACTGCCCTCTCTTGGCTTGACTTTCTTTTCTTCCTAATTTGATCCATACGTCAGTCCTGCTGTCAATATTTCTCACCATCTCCTGCAATGC